CATCCTCGCGTCACTAAATTTGCCATCAAAAGCGTTCGGAGTTGCCAAGTCCTAGGATAGAGTCCGATAAAAGGGGGCAAGAGGGCACCCACATTGCTATAGAATTTAACAATCCGAAAGCAGGACGATTGGAGAACGGTGACGAAAAAGTTAGCTGGCCCGCCGCTCCCCCGCCCCGTGCCGCGTGCCACTCCGGCCGCGGCGGCCACCCACCAGCCTTCATGGTTAGGACCCGTAGACCGAGCTGTAGTAGGAGCGCCAGCCCGGCCTCGCCCACTGCGTCCGGCTCCTGCATCCCCTCGCCCGGTGGTCCGCTGTATGCCCCGGACGCTTGCGGGCTCTCTCCGGCTGGCCGGCTGTCAGATCCGGGACTTCCGCCGCGTCTTCTGCTCTGGGGTGAGTCCTCCCACGCCGCCCCTCCCTCCAGACCGGTAGATCTACTGCCTCCGCCCCCCTCTGGACCTCAGCGCCTTAAATCCATCGTCGTTGCGCCATCAAACCTTGCCATTTCCTCCCCTTTGGAGGAGGCGGGTGGTTGGGTCCAAGTTCAGTCGCGCAAAAACCGGCGACCGTGCAAGAAGCCGGCGGGAAACAGTATGCGCTCCGGGGCTCCTCGCTCGGACCGCGGGCGCGCCTCCATGCCTTCGCCTGGCCGCGAGGCCTTCTTAAGGCGCTTTCGTGGAAAGTGCTTCCGATGCCTGAGCAAGCACCACCGGCGCAAAGATTGCCTCAACCCGCTTCGATGCATCTCCTGTGAGCGCCAAGGCCACTTCGCAAAAGAGTGCCCCAGCCGCTCCCGCGGCCCAGGAGGGGCTGCCCCGGCCGGATCCAAGCCGGCGCCAGCTCGGGTGCCGGTGCGGGATCGCCTCTGCTTCGACCACCCCCCGTCTCTGTCGGCCCCTCCTCCCCAAGCTCCGTCCATGGCTGGCTTCTCCCACGTCGATCCGGCGCGGCGGCCTCGCGAGAGCCACAAGATGGTGGTTGCCATGCCGGCCCTCGAGCACGCGGAGTACATCCTTCGGCAGCACGCAGTCACCGTCACGGCTGCAGATCGTGCCCACGCCACAAGCCCCATGGCGGTGGGGAAGGCCATCGAAGAGCAGCTCCGCACCTCGGCGCACCAGCTCCGCGTCACCGCCCACCATCCCGAGGCCTTCCTGGTGCACTTCGACCTGCCGGCGCACCGCGACAACGCTGTCCGCCGCGGCATCATCAAGGTGGACGGCTGCAAGTTCTTCATCCGCGCCTGGAGCCCGGACGACCACGCGGCCATCCTGAAGCTGTCCCTCCACGTCCGCATCGTCGTCGAGAACCTGCCTATGCAGTTCTGGAGCTTGGAGGGGGCAGACGACGCGTTCGGCGACTTCGGCCGCATCGACCGGCTCGATAGCCGCACGTATGAGCGTGGTCACACCAAGACGTTCGTGTGCTGGCTGTGGTGCTGAGATGTGGCGCACATCCCGACTAAGCGGGCTCTGTGGGTGCTCAAGCGTGGTGCTGGTCGCGTCGACGAGATCATCGGCTTCTCCCCGCCGGATCGCAACGTCCCTCCCCCGCCGGGCGTCCACCGCTACGACCTGCCGATCCACGTGGACCGCGTGGAGGACTGGAACCCGCTCTCGCCCCGCTCCTCGCACTCCGGGCAGAGCAGACTCCCCTCCTCGGAAGACGAAGACACTCGCCCCCTCCCCCGCTCTGAGCCGGGCTCTTGGGCGGCTGGTGT